CTTCTTCGCTTTTCTTCTCCCCCTCATTCACTTTTTGTTTTTCTCTTTGAATTGCATCTTTCTCCTCCTCTTCCTCCTCCTCCTCCCTGCTTCATTTCGGTATCTCCTCCTCCTCCTCCTCCTCCTCCTCCTCCTCCTCCCCCTCCTCCTCTGTAGGGAGTGTTTTCGGCCCAACCTGACTGAAGTAAATATTTTGTCATTTTTACTGTTTAGGTTAGGTTAGGTTAGGTTAGGTCACTCACAAAAAGACCATTTAAAGTGGATAAACAGAATCAAACACTGAAACACAACAAGATTATTTACAATGAAGTCACAGTAGTTTAAATGGTCTATCACAACCAGGTATTATGAGTCACCAAGTCCATCTAACACCATAACTACAGAGAGCAAATGGTGACTCATAACTCTATGGGACAATCACTCCTCTGATAATAGTCTAGAGAGCCACAATGACTCACCAAAACCAATCACGCACCAAGCACCTATGGGGTGAAACTATGATTCACTACAACTTGCCATGCACCAAGACCTCAAAGGGGGAGACTTACCATGTGAGAGACGCTCTTCTTCATGCTACCGTCCAGCCACCAAGTGAGTGTGGCTGGAGGTCGACTTCCCCTGGCCTCACACACCACCTGCTGTGGCCGACCAGCTGATACAGGGCCCTCCAGACCTCTCACCTCCACGCTCTCAGGCCCGACTGTAAACACAGGTGTAAACAGATGTGTGAGAGTTTTGTAAACATTCTAGATAAGTAGATGTGAAAGAGATTTTTGTAAACATTTCAGGTAAGTAGATCAGTAAAGGTTTTGAAAACATTCTACGTAAATAAATATGAGTTAAGGGTCGTCAACACTACAGAAATTTTAACATGTCCGTAGTTCTTGGCCCCATGTAGGAGTAGACAGGTGTGTGGAAAGGTTTATATGCAATGGAAGCATGCAGGTGTTGACAAGCATTAGCTGTAATTGAACAGGTTTGTGAATGCCGGAAGTAAACAGGTATAGACAGGTGTAGGAATTTTGTACCTGTCTTATTTAACTGTTACACACACACACACACACACACACACACACACACACACACACACACACACACACACACACACACACGTACACAACATTTTTTCCAATATGATTCACAACACCGACTTCGTCACGGATATTAAAAAGTTTATTAAATTGTGATATCCACTCTCACTCCTCCTCCCCCTCCTCCCTTTTATTCCTCTCCTCCCCTCTTCTTCATTTTTCCACCTCTCTCTTCTTCCTTCTCCCCTCTCTTCTCTATCTCTTTTCCTCCCTAACGCTTTCTTCTCACTCCTCTTCCCTTCTTCATCTTCCCCCTCTATCTCCTTTCTCTATTCCTCCATTCTCTAATTCTTCCTCCCTACTTCTCCCTACTTCCCTAGTTCTTTTGTCTCCCTCCTTCACTCTCCTTCACCTCCTCCCCCTCTCTCTTTACTATCTCGTGAGCGCTGAGAGGTGAGTCAGATAGTGTTGTGATGAGTCAGGTGGTGTTGTGCTGAGTCAGGTAATGTTGTGATGAGTCAGATGGTGTTGGGATGAGTCATGTGGTGTTATGATGAGTCAGCTGGTGTTGGGATGAGTCATGTGGTGTTATGATGAGTCAGCTGGTGTCGCAAAGTGAATCAGCTGGCGTCGTAAAATGAGTCAGGTGGTGATGCTGAGCGAGTCACATGGTGTTGAGAGATGAGAGCCGAAGGGCAGCTGGCACTCCTGACGTCATCGAATGTCCCAGATGGTACCAGATACGATCCAGATGGTTTTCAATGCCTGGGGCAAGATAGTGAGAGAGAGAGAGAGAGAGAGAGAGAGAGAGAGAGAGAGAGAGAGAGAGAGAGAGAGGCTCCCTTCGGTAAGAACCTTCCTGAACAAAATAAAGGAGACCTAAACGTGTGATTTATTTTCTCAAGATTGCCTGCTATATAATCATCATCCCTCCCCCTCCCTCCTCCTCCGTCTCCCTCCCTTTATCCTCAGAAATGTTCGGTAAAGTTACACACACACACACACACACACACACACATCAATATACACCTCTAAGCTTATTGTATTATATTGTATCATGTACTATGTAACTACAACATTGAATCGGGAATCCTTAAGGACATTCTTGCAGTCTATCCTAAATTTGCTAGACCACGCTGATTAGTTCTGAAGTATAACACCAACGAATATGACCTATACTATTATCTCCTTTTGTAAATGAACCTCTGTCCTGTGTGACATTGAACAATGATAGCACCCTCTGTGTCAAGTCCTGACTGACCTACTTCCAGTAGATTAGCACATTGTAGTCCCCTTCACTAGTGCGTTTACAGGGAATTCGTCAGGTTTTCTGTAGTGTGGTAGCCCTGTGTTTGTTTACATTCGACAGAAGGAAACTTGCAATAGTAAACACACTATGGAATCAAATTACAACAATATTAAAATAAATATCTCCAAGATAATCATTTGTGAAAGGGACTGTATATGTAGACCTCACCAAAACACACACACACACACACACACACACACACACACACACACTCACAGTTCATGTCCAATTCCACAGCAGTCTCCCTGGTTGGCGCCAGGTCGTGGTTGGTGGCCTGGCAGGAGTACATAGAGCGCAGGTCCTCCTTCTTCAGCGCTCTCAGGTGTATCGTGTTGACAACTAAGGGTGCCGACTCCACCACACCCCCCTGTCTCGAGCTGTTGGAGGAGAGGTACACTTTACTACTACAGTATGCTGGTATACATTGTTACTATAGTGTAGTCACTACAGTGTTGTTATAGTGTTTCCAGTGTTTATACAACCTTGCTAAACAGTACTATTACAATATTATCACAATAAATTTCAATTTATTTTTCATTAAAGATATTTCTGGCCTAAAGTAGGTTAAAATAGGTCAGGTCAGGTCAGGTCAGGTCAGGTCAGGTGAGGTCCGGTCCGGTCAGGTTAGGTCAGGTCAGGTCATGTTAGGTTAGGTCAGATTAGGTTAGATCAGTTTATGTATGAAGCTATCCATTTATATGTATATGATGACTTATCAGAAGTTCACCCCAAATTAATACATACTGTAGAAGTTATCACTAATCGACAATTACCTATGTTACGTGCAACATGTATTAATGCAACAAATCAAAACATTATTCAAGCCAAATAGAAAGTGGGAACATTAGCCACACGAGCATTACACAGTTGTCCCTAAGTTTTTAACACAAACACACACAACCAGAATCATTAAACATTTGTTATAAGCGGACTACTTTGCTGTCACTCGGAATAGAGTGTGACGATCATCCAGCTATATTACAATGACAAGAGTTATAAAGGATGTCTCCTAGGTCGGTGAGTTGTGAGGTGACTAAAGAGGCCGATACGGGAACGGCAGGGTCGATCACAGAAGATGCATATGTGGGGGGCTACATCTAGAGCGGAAGGGGCTGCAGCAGCGTCTTTCCGGCGTAGGCGCTTGTCTGCCTCGTTTTGTATTCGGGCTAACTGGAAGGTATTGACACCTTCTTGTAAGGTGTTCCTTCAAGAGTTGTGGTGTGGAGCTATCGTCTCCCAGGTGAGGGGGTAGATTTCGCACTTTTTCAGGTTTGTCTTAAGACTATCCCTATACCTTTTCAGTTGCCCGCCAGCATTACGTTTACTATTCGTTTGGTGACTGTAAGCAAGCTGCTTTGGCAGTCTACTCTCGTCCATGCGGGTAACATGGCCAGTACAGCGTAATTGATCGTGGACAATGGTAGCCTCGATGTTTCTAAGGTTGGTGTCAGCAACAATACTGGCATTTGTTCTCTTGTCTTCCCAGCGAAGTCGGAGGATCGAACGTAGACTCCTTTATGTGGCCCATGTCTGATTGCCATATAGCAGGATGGGGGGACCACTGCTCGATATACGTGCAACTTTGCAGATAATTTCATCTTCTTAAAGATGAAGACACAGGTACGGAGTCTGCAAAAGGCTTGAGATGCACTGCTGATCCGATGTTGAATCTCTTCGTCGATGTTCGAGGTGGTGGACAGGTGGGAGCCGAGATACTGAAAGTGGATAACATTATAGAGGGTAGTACAATTAAGCTGGATGGATGGTAGAGGTATGGCTGAATCAGGAGCAGGCTGAAAGAGAATCTGAGTCTTACGCACATTAACCTCAAGGCAGAAGTGTGCATACGCATCTGAAAAGGTGTTCAGGATCTCCTGTAGGTCGCGTGCAGTGTGAGCGGCAAGGGTAAGGTCGTGTCCATACTGAAGTTCAGTAATGAGAGCTGCTGACACCTTTGTTCCTGCCTGTAGTCGTCTTATTTTGAAAAGATCCTTCAACCGGTACTCTATGTCCACCCCGCCTGCAAAATTGGCACGAGCACGGGTGAGGAAGGCAGCCAAGAAAATGGAAAAGAGAGTTGGCACCAGTACACATCCTTATTTAACCCCGTTTGAATTGGGAAGAACTCAGACTGGGTGCCATTGTTTAGGACACTGTCGTTCATGAGGTCGTGAAGTTGTCACACAATGGCGATGAATTTTGGTGGGCAGCCAATCCAGTTGAGGGTTCGCCAAAGGGCTTCCCTGTTGACCGAGTCGAAGGCCTTGGATAGGTCGATAAATGCCATGTATAGATCACGACGCTGTTCTCTGCACTTTTGCTGTATCTGGCGGACAGCAAAGATCATGTCAATGGTGCCTCAGGTAGTAGTCTGTTTAGGAGGGCTCGTGCGATAATCTTGTCAGCTACAGACGGCAGCGAGATCCTACGGTAGTTGCCACAGTCTGACAGGCCTCCCTTGTTTTTATAAATATTGATGATATAGGAGTATTTAAGAGCTTGGGGAATTTTCTCCTTTTCCCATATATTCTCCAGGAAGGAGTGGAGAAGGCTAGTAAGCAGAGATCCTCCTGCTTTATACACCTCGGCTGGGATTCCATCAGACCCTGAGGCTTTGTTATTTTTCATCTGTTTGATTGCAGTAGCTACCTCATCCAGGAATGGAGGATAGCTGAGATGGCTCAGCTTTGGATGCTGAAGAACCTGCTGGGTAGTCAGGACATCTGCATCGGTGTTTCGGTTGAGCAACGAATGGTAGTGTTCTTTCCAGTGCTGAAGGATGCCTTCTTCATCTTTAATTAGGGAGTTGCCACCGGATGAGCGGAAGGGAGCTGTGCCATGAGTGATTGGCCTATAAAATGTTTTAGTGGAATTGAAAAATTCGCGAATTTGTGCTGATTTGCAAGTTTTGCATTTCACATGCTTTATTTTTAAGCCAGTCGTTCTTTAGTTTGTTAAGTTGCCTCTTTCTTCCTGCGGAAGATATCAGCTCTGGTCCTAGACTGAGGGTTGTTCTGCCTTCAATTAAAGCAGCACGTTTATCATTGATGAGTACATTGATCGCTCGGTCATTTTCATTAAACCAGTCCTGGTGTATTCTTTAAACCTGGCCAAGGGTCTCTGCGAAGGCTTTTGTCATGACAGTGTCGAAAATACTCCATTCGGCACTGGCATTTCGGTTGTTTGTTGTTGGGTTGTTTATCAGCCTAAGTTTGAGCTGTTCTCTTAAAGTGTGCTAGTGCTGAATCCTACAGACACTTAGTGTTAAAACTTCTTTTGGCGGCTTCTTGCCTTCGCTACTTTGGGGCGATATGGAGTGAGAGCTTGACTCTGACGAGTAGATGACCAGTGTTGCAGGAGTGTAAGCCACGTTTTGCTCGGGTGATGAGGACATCTCGGCAATCTCTTTCTCTGACAGTGATGTAGTCAATGAGATGCCAGTGTTTGGACCGTGGGTCATGCCATGAACCTTTGAACTTGTCGAACTACCTAAACAGGGTATTGGTGATAGTGAGGTTGTGTGCAGCATACTTGCTGAGGAGGCGTAGGCCGTTGGGATTTTACTTTTCTAGTCCATTTCTCTCTATGATTCCTTGTCAAATGTCAGCATCTCTATCAACTCTGGCATTGAAGTCCCCAAGGAGCACAACTTTATCTTCTCTGGGAATAGATGTTAGCACTCTGTTAGGAATCGGCGTAAAAGGCCTTCTTGATTTCATCCTCTGCATCCAGTGTTGGGGCGTATACACTGATGAAGAAGGCATGACGTGAGTGTTACTCTGAGCGTCATGAGGCGTTCGTTGATCCGAACAGGTATTTCAGTTAGCCTGTGTAGGATGTGCTGGCAGATGGCAAAGCCAACTCCATAAGTGTGGTTTTTCTCAGCAGCAGACTTACCCTTCTAGAAGAAGGTATAGCCAAACTCCCGTTCTGTGAGTCAACCCTCATCTGGGAGCCGGACTCACTGATGGCTGCTATGTCGATGATATATCTAGCCAGCTCTTTTGCCACAAAGGCAGTTGTTCTCTCAGGACATGCATTTGTGCCAGTATTCAGAAGGGTCCTGAAATTCCATGCAGCGGCCATAAGAGGTTGTATAGTTTGTTTTTGTTTTGATGCTTGATTATAGTTTTGTTTTCGACTGCATAAGGATGACTTTACTGGGTGTGGTTGCCAAGTCATGTTGGTTCTTTAGGCAGGCTATGTTTAGGGCACCTTTTCTAGCCCCTTCCCCAAGTGGGGTGAGCTGAGTGGCTCCTCGAAAGGGCTGCTCAGTCGCACAGACAGAACCGGATTGCACTGCTGCCTAGATCCCAGTGCACAAACGACCATCTTTTCTATGCCGCCCATGTGTAGAGTTGTGACTAGAGACTCCCGGCAGTCATCTCTGTCTGTCCCCATTCCCACTCGTCCATCTCCATAGGACTTTTGGAGTATAAGGGTTTAATGGTGATGAGTATGATGAGCTGGATGATGGCTGCACGTGAGTTGATTTATGTGGTGAGGAAGGAGTGCAAATTGTAACCACACATCTTGGCTCTCCCTTTTCCTGATCCTGTGGTGCAAGTGTTGCAACGACTGGGGGGAGAGAGAGTTTCAATGGACTGCCGATAGCCCAGTATGTTGGGTTTCGCCTTGGTAGCATTACTTCAACCGCCGGTATAGTCGTTGGGTTCCCATGGTTCCCTCTTCCGCCTATACCGCCGTTGGGGTCTTGTTGGAGCTCTGTAAGCATGTCTACCTGATGAGGGGCTCCACAGCAGATTTTTCGTTCGGGTTTACTTCCATAGCCTAACTGTATAACTACCAATGTTAACCCCCAAGGAAGCGGGGCAATGGTTGGAAGGCGCCAGGGCGTATCCACATGCCAGTAGGCCTATATGCTGTCCTTCTGGGGCCCACTGCTACTCCGAGATCCTCTGCTGGTCTAGCTTGGGCCCATGAGACACCCAGTTACCGTGTGTTCCAACGAGAATGCATCAACAGGAATCTTGGTGGTGAAGAGGCTGTGTACTGGCAGGGGAAGACTTATGCAAGTTGCTTCTCTGTTCGCCATGAGGGCTAGCCAGCGGCGGTAGCTAAAAGCGAGAGGAAGCAAGCAATGCTTGCACCTTAACACTAACATAATGCTGCCACACTAGACGCATTACACCACCCTGTGCAGTGCACACACACACACACACACACACACACACACACACACACTTCATTACCTCTATCAGCTTGGGAAGTACAGGGAGACTCACCTAGGGGGAGCTTGTTGATGGTATGTGTTGTCCAGGAGGCGGCCACTTCTCCACCAGGTGACAGCAGGTAGTGGGTCGCCTCCCTGGACCCGGCAGGTGAGGGAGGGTCGCTCTCCCACTGTGTAGGGGCCGGCAGCACCAACTAGCTCCAGCCCACTCTCATCTACGATCCTCACACTGGTAACTGGCTCTGTAATACATCACGTTAACATGTTAGTCCTGTACCTGTAGCTCAGCAATGCATCACATTAACATGTTAGTACTGTAATACCTGTACCTGTGTAGTGCATCGCGTTAACATGTTAGTATTGTACCTGTAGCTCTGTAACACATAATGTTAACATGTTTGTGCTCTTCCTGTAGGTCTTTAACACACTCAAGTTTAACGTGTTAACACTAAACTTTCCATGTATGGTGGTTTAATGTGTGAATAATCAACCTCTTACTCTTTTTAAACACAAATTTAACATGATAACTCTTCACCTTTAGCTCTGTACAGCACGTATTTAACATACTGACACTCGACCTTTAACTTTACACAACCATAATACAAACACATAAATAAACACGTTCTTATTAAAGTTTGAAACGTTGGTACAATCTTATAATACAACACATTAATGATAAGAAATGACCTGACAACCTCCAGCTACGATGACCTATAGACACACACACACACACACACACACACACACACACAAGACTACTACTACTACTTTGCTGTCATCCTGAATCGAGTATGACGACCATCCAGTTATGAATACGATGATATGAGTTATTAAGGATGTCACCTAGGTTGGTGATTTCTGATGTGACTAAAGAGGCCGATACGGGACCGGCAGGATCTATCGCAGACGTTGCACATGTGGGGGCTACATCTAGTGTGGGAGGGGCGGCGGCAGCTTATTTCCGGCGTTGCCGCTTGTCTGCCTCGTTATGTAGTCGGGCTAAGTCGAAAGTATTGATACCTTCTACGTAGTGTGGTGATCCTCCAAGCATTTTGATGTGGAGTAATCGTCTCCCAGGTGAGAGGGTCGATTTGGCACTTTTCAGATTTGTCTTAAGACTATCCTTATACCTTTTCAGTTGCCCGCCAGCGTTACGTTTACTATTCGTTAGGTGACAGTAAAGTAGCTGCTTTGGCAGTCAACTGTCGTTCATGCGGGTAACATGACCAATCCAGCAGAGTTGTTCATGGATATTGGTGTCACCAAGAATACTGACATTTGTTCTCTTGTCTTCCCAGTGAACTTGGAGGATGGAACATAGACTACGATGGTGAAAGTTTTCAAGTGCCTTGATGTACCTCTTGTATGTGACCCATGTCTCGCTGCCATATAGCAGGGTGGGGAGAACAATTGCTCGATATATGTGCAACTATGTAGATAATTTCAGCTCCCTACAGCTGAAGACATGGTTTTGAAGTTTACCAAAGGCTTCAGATGCACACCTGATCGGATACTGAATCTCTTCATCGATGTCCGCGGTGGTGGACAGCTGTGAGCTGAGATACCTAAAGTGAGTAATAATAGAGAGGGTAGTACCGTTAAGCTGGATGGATGGTGGAGGTGTGGCTGAACCAGAGACAGGTTGAAAAGAATCTGAGTCTTACGTACATTCACCTCAAAGCCGAAGTGTGCATACTCATCTGTGTACGTGTTCAGTGTGCGTTCAGTGCATTAGTGCGTTCAGTATGAGAGAAAAGAGTGAGGTCGTCTGCACGCTGAAGTTCAGTAATGGAAACTGCCAACACCTTTGTTCCTGCCTGGAGTCGTCTTTGTTGAAAAGACCTTCATCCGGTATGGGAAATCCTCCCCGCTGGCTAAATGGGCACTGGCACGAGTACGGAAGGCAGCCAAGAAAATGGAAAAGAGAGTTGGTGCCAGTACACATCCTTGTTTAACCCCCGTTTGGATGAGAAAATCTCATGAGTGGGTGCCATTGTGCAGTACACTGCCGTTCATGCCATCATGAAGTTGCCTCACAATGGCAATGAATTTTGGAGGGCAGCCAAAACGGCTGAGGGTCTGCCAGAGGGCTCCCCTGTTGACCAAGTCAAAGGCCTTGGTTAGGTCGATGGAAGCCATGTACAGGTCACAACGCTGTTCTCTGCACTTTTGCTGTATCTGAGGGGCAGCAAAGATCATGTCAGTGGTGCCACGTGATGGTCTAAAGTAACATTGAGATTCTGGAAGAAAGTTTTCCGCCTCAGGAAGAAGTCTGTTTAGGAGGACTTAGGTGATAATCTTGCCAGCCACGAACTGCAGTGATATCCTGCAGTAGTTGCCATAGCCTGACCGATCTCAGTTGTTGTTATAAATATTGACGATGGAGGCATCCTTAGGAGCTTGGGGGATTACCTCCTTTTCCCATATATTCTCCAGGATAGAGTGGCGACTGCTGGTATGCAGAAGTCCTCCTGCTTTATACACCTCGGCTTGGATTCCATCAAGCCCTGAGGCCTTGTTATTTTTCATCTGTTTGATGGCAGTAGCTACCTCATCAAGAGATGAAGGATAGCTGAGGTGGGTCAGCTCTGGATGCTGAGGGACCTGCTGGGTATTCAGCACATCCACATTGGTGTTTCGATTGAGCAGTGAATGGCAATGCTCTTTCCAGTGCTGAAGGAGTCCTTCATTGTCTTTAATTATGGAGTTGCCGTCGGATGAGCGGAGTGGGACTGCGTCACAAGTGATTGGTCCATAAAATGTTTTAAGGGAATTGAAAAATTCGTGCATCAAGTGCATATCTGCAATTTTTTGTGTTTCACATGCTTTATATTTAAACCAGTCTTTCTTTAGATTGTGAAGTTCCCCCTGGGCCGCTGCTTTCTTCTTGCGGAAGGTATCAGCTTTGGTCCGAGACTGAGGGTTGTTCTGCCAGTCAGTTAAAGCAGCACGTTTATCATCGACGAGTACAATGATTTCCGGGTCATTTTCATCAAACAAGTCCTGGTGTACTCTTCAGATCTGGCCAACGGTCTCTCCCTAGGTTTTTGTCATAACAGTTTAAAGAATATCCCATTCGACATGGGATTTGGGTTGTTTGTTGTCGGGTTGTTTATCAGCCCATGTTCTACCTAATCTATGAAAGTATGTGCTACAGCTTGAACCTCCAGACGATTAGTGTTAAAATCTCTTCTGGAGGTTTGCTGCCTCCTCCGTTTTGCAGCGACGTAAGGTGAGAGCTTGGATCTGATGAGCCAATGCTCAGTGTCCCAGTGTTCTGAGCCACGGATTGCACGGGTAAAGAAGACATTTCGGCAATTTCTTTCTCAGACGATAATATAGTCAATAAGATGCCAGTGTTTAGATCTTGAGTTTTGCGACGATCCCTTGAACTTGTCGGCCTGCCTAAACAGAGTATTGGTGATAGTGAAGTTGTGTGCTGCACACTTACTGAGGAGGAGTAGGCCGTTGGGATTACACTTGCCTAGTCCATTTTTCCCTAAGGTTCCCTGCAAAATATCAGCAACTCTGCCAAATCTGGCATTGAAATCACCAAAAAGCACAACTTTTATCTTCTCTGGGATAGATGTTAGTACTCCGTCAAAGTCAGCGTAAAAGGCCTTTTTGGTGTCATCCTCTGTATCCAGTGCTGGGGTGTATGCACTGATGAAAAAGGCATGACTTGTGTGATTCAGTGGGACTCGGAGCGTCAAGAGGCGCTCGTTGACCCCAAAGGCATTTCAGTTAGCCTGTGTGGGATGCATTGGCAAATGGCAAAGCCAACTCCATAAATGCGGTTTCTGTCTGCAGCAGGCTTACCCATTCAGAAAAAGGTATAGCCAGACCCCCTCTCTCTGAGTTGACCCTCGTCTGGGAGCCAGGACTCACTAATGGCTGCTATGTCGATGTTATTCCTAGACAGCTCTTTTTCCACAAGGGCGGTTCTTCTTCTTTCTGTATGTTCATTTGTACCAGTATCCAGAAGGGTCCTGATATTCCATGCAGCGACCATAAGAGGTCGTATAGTTTGGTTTGGTTTAGATTTATGATTTTGATTGTGTTTTCGACCCTTAAGGATGACCTTACTGGGTGCAGTTGCAGAGTCATATTTTTTTCTTTTTTAGGCACGCTACATCTAGGGCACCTTCTCTAGACCATTCCCCACATAGGGAAAGCAGAGTGGCTCCTTGAAATATCTGCTCAGTCACACAGACAGGACCACATTGCACTGCTGCCAAGATCCTATTGCATAAACGACCATCTTATCTGTGCTGCCCATGTGCAGAGTTGTGACAAGAGACTCCTGGCAGTCATCTCTGCCTGTCCCCGTCGCCACTTGTCCGTTGCCATGGGAATTTTGGGGGTATAGGGTTTTTGATGATGATGAGAGGGATGATGAGCTGGATGATGGCTGCTCGTGAGTTGATTTATGTAGTGAAGCAGGAGCGCAGGCTGCAACCACACATCTTGGCTCTCCCTTTTCTTGATCCATTGGTGCAAGTATTGCAACGACTCAGGAGAGGGAGAGTTGAAATGGCCTGCCTATAGGCTAGATTGATGGGTTCCACCTTAGTAGCCTGTCCATCAGGCATTGCCTTCATCCGCCAGTGTAGTCATTGGTTCCCATGGTGGTCACCTCTTCTGCCTATACCACCTTTGGGGGTCTTGTTGGAGCTCTGTAAGCATGTCTGCCTGATGCGGGGCTCCACCGTATATTTTTCGTTCGGGGTTTACTCCCGTAGCCTTATTCCTACCAAGGTCAATCCGCAAGACAGCGGGGCAATGGTTGGTAGGCGCCAGGACGTTTCCACAGTAGGCCTATGAGCCGTCCCTCTGGGGTCCACTGCTTCTCCTATATCCCCTGATGATCTAGCCTGGGCCCACGTTGCACCCAGTTACCGTGTGTTACCACTAGGAGGCACAGCAGGAGTCTTGATGGTGAAGAGGCTGTGTACTGGCAGGGGAAGACTTATGCAAGTTGCTTCTCTGTTCGCCACGAGGACAAGCCAGCGGCAGTAGCTGAAAGCGCGAGGGAGCAAGCAGTGCTTGCACTTTAACACTAACATAATGTTGCCACACTAGACACATTTCACCACCCTGTGTGTGAACCCACACCACACACACACACACACACACACACACACACACACACACACACACACACACACACACACACACACACACACACACACATCCCCTCACACGAGCACCTGCCACAAACACACACACACACACACGCACACACATCCCCCACACGAGCACCCCCCACACACACATACACACATTTACACCCTCCCACAAATACATGAGCACTCCCTTCCACCTTACACTCACACACCCACACATACAGTACATACATCAACAATCCTTCTCCGCACATATCACATACAACAAACAAAATATACATCTCTCTCTCTCTCTCTCTCTCTCTCAGCTTTGTATCAGACATTACTATTGAACTGTCCTGCCAACAACACCTGCCATAAAAAAATAACCTCACCTGTCCTACACCTACATTTTTAGCATGTATACAGGTGCACAGAGATTCCTGACCAACCAGTAACTCGAGTATTACCACACCTCCCACACACTCTTCTCTTACATACGAAAATTGTCAAAGGTTTTTCCCAGTGTTTTGTGGAAGGGGCTATCCATTGGGTGTCAGGTAGGGTGGGTGATATTTTATATTCTTTACCGTGTTCTTAGTGGATGACACACCTTAACCTCCGTGATTTATGTGTTGCTGGGGTATTTTCACATTCTATTTTTTGTGTTTTGCGGTTAAGAAACAACACTCCTCAGGTAGTTTCTATTCCATGGTGATGATTTTTTTTTATTGTGGTGCTGGTTCATGATGCACCTGAACTATCTTTAGCATATTTTATAATCAGATAATTTCAAAGAATTGGTATACTTCTAAGACTTTTTATTTATCTTATGGTAAATACGACACAGCATAGCTCGAGTTGCATGTATGTCTTAAGGCGATATTTCCTAAGTAGCTGTGTCTCAAGTCAAGACTTTACAATATAATGTGTCTCAGTTGAAGACTTAAGATGTATTATGTGTCTCACCTGAATACCCAACCTAGCCCACCACTAACCCAACCTCACCCACCACTAACTTAACCTAGCCCACCACTAACCCAACCTCACCCACCACTAACTTAAACTAGCCCACCACTATCCAACCAATCCCACCACTAACTTAACCTGACATAGCGTTACCTTAACGTTAGCGCCACCACAAACCAACCTAACCCAACACTAACTTAACCTAGCCCATCACTAATCCAACCTAACCCACCACTAACTTAACCTAGCCCATCACTAATCCAACCTAACCCACCACTAACTTAACCTAGCCCACCACTAACCCAACCAATCCCACCACTAACTTAACCTAGCCCATCACTAATCCAACCTAACCCACCACTAACTTAACCTAGCCCACCACTAATCCAAACCAATCCCACCACTAACTTAACCTGACATAGCCCTACCTTAGCCTAGCCTAGCCCACAAATCCAACCTAACCCACCACTAACTTAACCTAGCCCATCACTAATCCAACCTAACCCACCACTAACTTAACCTAGCTCATCACTAATCCAACCTAACCCACCACTAACTTAACCTAGCAAATCACTAATCCAACCTAACCCACCACTAACTTAACCTAGCAAATCACTAATCCAACCTAACCCACCACTAACTTAACCAGCCCATCACTAATCCAACCTAACCCACCACTAACTTAACCTAGCCCATCACTAATCCAACCTAACCCACCACTAACTTAACCTAGCCCACCACTAACCCAACCTAACCCACCACTAACTTAACCTAGCCCACCACTAAGGTACTAACCCACCACTAAGGTACTAACCCACCACTATAGGACCTAACCCACCACTTAGGTACTAACCTACCACTATAGGACCTAACCCACCACTAAGGTACTAACCCACCACTATAGGACCTAACCCACCACTTAGGTACTAACCTACCACTATAGGACCTAACCCACCACTAAGGTACTAACCCACCACTAAGGTACTAACCCACCACTATAGGACCTAACCCACCACTAAGGTACTAGCCCACCACTAAGGTACTAGCCCACCACTAAGGTGCTAACCCACCACTATAGGACCTAACCCACCACTATGGTTACTAACCCACCACCAAGGTACTAACCCACCACTAAGGTACTAGCCCACCACTATAGGACCTAACCCACCACTAAGGAACTGACCTATAACGGTGAGGTTGACTCTGGCATGGGTGGTGGTGAGCCGCTTGTAGTCCACCCTGCAGCGATAAACTGCTTGGTCGGCTCTCCGGGTTTGATTAAGAACGAGCGCTGCCGGGTTCGTGGTCATGCTGAAGTGAGCTCTTTCTCCCAGCAACTCAGGATCCGCCCACTCCTTTGGTTTCGAGTACGCACCCGACCGTACGTCATAACTGTGGATGGGGAGATAAAGGGAGGGTTAGAACTGTGGGGGAGAGGGGAGGTTAGTTGCAGGGAGTGAGAGGGAAGGTTTGTATAGGGAGGGGGAGGGGAGAGGGGATAGGGCACCACTTAGAAGACAAAATTTCAGTGAGACTCTGCCATATTTAGGGACGTTCAATTACCACTAGTTATGAGACAGAATTTACGTATATTATCTGTGTATGGTGGATGAATGATGATAGTGGTGGGTAGTGGTGATGGTGGTAGGTGGTGGTGGGGTGATGTTAATGGTTGTGGATGTTGGTAGTGTAGTTGGGTGGTGGTGGGTGGTGATGGTAGTTGGTGGTGATGATGGTGATTGTGTTAGGTAGTGGTGGGGTGATGATGGTGATGGTAGTGGGAGGTGGTGCATGTAGTAGGCAGCTATTAAAGAGGGAGGTACTACCGCCTAGGAAGATATTGGAAGCATAATGTGTTGTCTAATGGTAGACCCTGCTACCTCATGACGTCACAAAAAGTTTGACCAAGTCCCAGGTTGCTGATCTGACTTTCTGTCTTATTTACACACAATTGCAGGGTCTAAACTGTTTCTCTTACGTTGACAACACAACATACATATCGTTTCTCACTCTTGATCTGTTTTATTTTTCCATTTCTGTATTTAGTTATGGTTCAATTTATTTATTTTCTTGCCCCCAGGCCCCGATGTGGGTCTGTGACCTGTGCCCGGGTTGGCTAATCACCCCGTAAAAAAAAGTAGTTGGTGGTGATGGGTGAGTGTAGCGGTAAGATGGCACTGACGGTAGAGGTTGGTAATGGTAGTTGGTGGTTATAGTGGTGGTGGTGGTGGTGGTGGTAGCGTGGTATTGATAGTGGTAGGTGGTAGTGGGTGTTAGCAGTCGTGGTGGCAGTGGGTGGTGGTAGGGTGATGGTCATGGGACATAAGAACATAAGAAAATAAGGAGTCTCCAATAGGCCGGTTGGCCTGTGCGTGGCAGCTCCTGTCGAGAGTTACAACCACTCTCTATCGTCCATGAATCTATCTAGCCTCTTTTTAAAACTTTCCAGCTTTCCAGCACTTACTACACAGTTGCTAAGCCTGTTCCACTCGTCTACCACCCTATTTATGAACCAGTTCCTTCCTATCTCCCTCCTAAACCTAAACTTATCCAACTTAAATCCGTTGCTACGAGTCCTATCCTGCTCGGATATTATAAGAGCTTTATCTATAATATCTCCGTTATTGATTCCTTTCACCCACTTAAATACTTCTATCATATCTCCCCCCACTCTTCGTCTTTCTAGGGAATATATGTTTAGTTTCTTTAATCTATCTTGATATGGAAGGTTTCTAAATCCCGGAATCATTTTCGTCATTCTTCGCTGCACCGACTCCAGTGAATTGATATCCATTCTGTATAATAAGGACACCAGAACTGAACAGCATAATCGAGGTGCGGCCTGACTAGCGCAAGATATAGTTGCAATATGACCTCTGCACTCTTATTACTTACACTTCTAGATATAAAACCCAATACTCTGTTTGCCTTATTTCGAACATTAACGCACTGTTTTCTAGGCCGTAGGTCCGGGCATACAAATACCCCTAAGTCCCTTTCACAAGTCGACTTCTCTAGGTTAATGTTGTTAAGGCTGTATACATTGACAGTATTTGTTATTCCAATATTCAGTCCGCTGCACTTGCTGGTGTTGAATTTCATTTGCCATTTTTCTGACCACTCCTGCAGTTTATGTAAATCCTCCTGAAGTGCATTTGCATCCTGCCCTGAATTAATCTGCCGCCCTATTTTGGTGTCATCCGCAAACTTGCTTATGTCACTGCTGATCCCAGTATCTAGATCGTTTATGTAGATTATGAACAAGAGTGGGCCCAGTACTGACCTCTGGGGAACCCCACTGGTTACACAGCCCCACTCAGTAGGTGGTGGTAGTATATGGTGGTGGGAGGGGGGGTAGAGAGCCCCTACATGACCTACACTGCGGCGTTAGAGGGGAAGTCAGAGGCCTCGTCCCATGGGGCTCTACACGGCTGTACCAACAATACGAATGAAAAGGTAGGTGGTGGTCCTCTTCAAACTCTCCCCCCCCCCCTTACCATACTACTTCTCCTCTCCCATCTATCCCATACCTCCTCCTCCTCCTCATTACATAGTCTGACCTCACCTCTTCCCACAATTCGCTTTCTCTCTCCCTATGACTTCTTCTCACCTCTCTTTCCTCTGCTCTCACTCTTCTTCCCCCTCTATCCACTCTTTCTCTCTCTTCTTTCTCTACCCCTCAGTTTTCCCTCTCTTTCCACCTCGCTCTGCCACTGCCATCTGCCCTTCTGTCTCTATCTTGTATTCTTACCTTTCCCTCCTATTCCCACAGTCCTCTCCTCTCCCTCTCTATCCCTCCATCCATCTTCTTATTATTATCTCCCTTCCCTCTCCTTCCCCCGTCCCACTATTACTTCCCCTCCTTCTCCCTTCCCCTCTCCTCTCCTTCCCTCACCCACCTCCTGAAGGACCAGTTACACACAAGCCAGGAATTTATTAAACAGCGGAAGGAGAGAGAGAGAGAGAGAGAGAGACGACATCACTACACTTTATGTTCGCCAAAACATACACTTACTCTCTTTAAGAACAGCAACAACAATAACATAACTCAATATAACACTATTTTCACACCGATCCACACATTGCACGTCACTCCTCCTGATGGTTGATAGTCCCTGGCATGACGAACGAGTGACCACCTTTATATAGAGCCGAGGCTGTGGGGAGTTGCCAGTTACATCTAATTATTGCTATCAGTTCATTGCTTATTAGTTTTTTTGTTCCCTCAATGCCAGAAGCCATGAGGTTTAATATAGTCAAGGGTTCATTACTTTGTCAGCTACAGCTCACAAGTCATGATAAACAACATCGGCAAACAGGAGTTTTAAAGAGGACATGGGATAACAAAAGAGGATTATATGCACGGTGGGTCTTTCCTAGTCATGTACAATAGGTATTTCCTAGTCCTGGTACAATAAGTCTTTCCTGGTTCTGGTACAATGGGCCTTTCCCAGTCCTGGTACAATGGGTTTTCCTAGTACTGGTACAGTCCACGTGGTACAGTCCACGCCACACAGACTGGCAGCCTCGAAATTCCTAACCGGCAACTTCGCTGGGCGCATCCCTCCCCCACCCACCTCCAGAAACACACAAATCAGGCAATTAATCGGTGATCAGCCAAGGTGTAAAGTTAACCCTTACCCCGAACACTTTAGCATGGATAAATCAATGTTTAAAATTTATTATCTTTCTGCATATAAAATCGATCCAAGCATTTGATTTGGTTACAAACATGATAGACTTAAGACCATAAGGATGGAGGAAACTGCAGCGGGCCTATTGGCCCATACTAGGCAGTCCTGTTTATACCCCACCCCCATCGCTCTATATCCATCCAACCTATGTTTAAAGCTATCCAGCGTATTCGAGTTAATGATGATGTTTGGTAACTTGTTCCATTCATCCACTACTCTATTTCCAAACCAATGTTTACCTATCTCGCGCCTAAATCTAAATTTTTCTAATTTAAAACCATTGTTACGAGTTCGCTCCTGGTTGGATAATTTGAGAATCTTTATAATGTCCTCTTTGTTTAGCCCTGACTCCCCTCACTCTACGTCTATCTAGGGAATGCAAATTAAGATGCTTTAACCTGTCTCTATACTCAAGGTTTCTAATGCCCGGGATTAGTCTTGTCATTCTCCTCTGAATTCTTTCTTGGGATTCTATATCCATTCTGTAGTACGGTGACCAGAACAGAACTGCGTAATTCCAGTGAGGTCTCACAAGCGAAAGATATACAGTAGTTTTAGGATAACCTCACTAGTCTTGTAACTAACACTCCTTTATATGAAATCAAGTACGTTGTTAGCCTTGTTTCGAGCAAATACACATAATTTACTTGGTTTAAGATTCCCACTTATCATTACTCCTAAATCTTTCTCACAGACGGATTTCTCTATAATAGCGTTGTTCATCTGATATCTGGTTTCTCTGTTTACATCTCCTAGACTAAGTACTTTACATTTGTCTACATCAAATTTCATCCGCCATTTTTCAGACAATTCGAATTTTTTTTAGATCTTTCTGTGGATTTGCGGAGTCCTCTTCAGATTTAATTACAAGCCCTATTTTAGTGTCATCAGCAAATTTACATATGTTGCTGTCGACGCCTATATCTATGTCGTTTATGTATATAATAAATAATAATGGTCCAAGTTCTGAGCCTTGGGGTACACCACTAGTGACGCTACCCCAATCCAATTTAGTGCCGTTAATGCTTACTCGCTGTTTCCTGTCCTGTAACCACACCCTAATCCATTTTAGAATATCTCCTCCAATGCCATGAACCTCCACTTTTCGTATTAGTCTTTCGTGGGGGACTCTGTCGAAGGCTTTGCTAAAGTCTCGAAGGCTTTGCTTTGCTAAAGACTATATACCATGATGTTGGAATTTCGAAATAGGCCACTGCTCATTTGCACAGGATATTCCACAATGAGTGTTGACCAGAGAGGTTGACAGACGCCCACCGTGGCTCGAGGCTCAAGTTTGCTCGACAGCAAGTTGATAAGGAGGAGGAATTTTGGGCAAGAGTAGTGTTCAACGAAGGGAAAAAAAATTCGTCCAACAACCATGGACGTATCCATGTGTGGAGCCGAAACAACACAAGTAGCATATCCATAAAGTTATGTTGGCAACCTGTAACATGGTTAGTTTTAGTATAATGTATATCAAATTAGTTTATAAAATCCCGCATATTTTCTAGTAAATAACAAATTATAATTTGACAAGAAAGTGAAGAATATAACAAAGTGATAAGGTCTACATTATTTTACACAGATATGACCGGTGCAATATCTATGAAGAAATACGAACCAGCGTCGGGAGTGTCACAGAGATTCAGGGACGGTTTAATGCCGAAACATATGTTGACATCCTTCTTGTCTTTGAAC